CATCATCGCGACTACAGGATGTCGTTTTGTCTCACCTTCATCGACTTGAAGAAGGTTTTTGATTCGGTTGAGACTGAGACTGTCATCGACTTGGGCAGTCAAGGTAGCTCTCGAAAACGTCATGCGGACACTAGAGTGAGACGACATGGATGTGACAGTCGAAGGCCGGCAACTACACCACCCGCTTTGCTGATGATTTAGTCCTGATTACACCAGACATTACGCAAGCGGAATGCTGATTCAGTTTGACGACGTGTGTGAAGATCGGTTCAAAGCCAAATCTGACGAAGACGATGTTCATGAAAAACGAATTGGTTTCTGATGCTTCTTTCACGATAAATGGAATGACGATCGCCGAATGCTCTAGCTACGTCTACTCAGGTCGGGAAGTCACCTGATGAACGCTCTAGCCCCGGAACTGGGTAGGAGAAAACGAGCAGCATGGAGAGCAGATGAGGCAATTGAGGACGTAATCAAGAAGACCAAGAACACCCGGCTCGCGCCCATCTCTTCAACACGACGGTTTTGCCTGCTTCGACATACGCTTCGGAAACTTGAACCATGAGGAAGCAGGACGAACATGCGGTGAGCGTCCGCGAACGCGCTGTTGAGAGAATGATGTTAAGAGTGTCCCGACTGATGCAAATGAGGGCAGGACTACGGAGCTTCACCCTACGTCATTGTTCGAAGATCAGGATGCTGCTGCATACGCCAAACAGAATAAAATCAGATACCGGGGCACTGGTGCGTTTCAACGACAATTGGTGGACCAGAGCTGTAACGGATTGGACACCAGTGGACTTCAGACGCGAAACAGGAAGACCGCCGGTCGGACATGTCCACGAAGTCCTTTAAAAAAGTCCTTAAAGGCTTTTCTCGTGTACCTGGTGCAATGAGAAAAAATTGTTTAACTTCGCTCGCGACAGGGACGAATAGAGACGTCACTGGATCCCGCCCGTATCAAGCGATGATCAACGGGATACAGGTGATGCAGGAACATGTCGAATAACCCCTACGGATCAAGTCTCGACAGATTTTTGAGGATTTTAAGTTTCCATCCGAGTAAAATGCTCATGTGTACACGATTAGCTTTGTTTTGTGAGTTAGCTACCCGTTTTTGCGTTGTGTACAAAGCACTACTTCTTCTTTGCCCACACGAGAAATCACCTTTCAAGTAACAACTGAACTATAACACCAGGGACCTGCTAGCACTTGTTTGTCTCATTTTCGTTCTCAATGGTTCTGTCTGGACCAACTATTACTCACATTAAAGAAGGCGAGTTAGACTAAAGACAAATTACAGAAAACTAGAAGGTCTGAACTATCGAATATTACATACTTTTGCCACTCTCCCTTGCAATATACGTAGAAGAGCAGATTTAGCACTGTTGTATCGTAGCACATATTTGCCATATAAGCAACAACTGCGGATGAGATTGCTACTGTGAAGAGAAGAAGATTTAATGGTCTCAGGGTTTCGAACCTAGATGTATGATTTTGAAGGTGAGAGTTGATGGAGAGTGGTACAACTCATGAAGGCGGAGTCCAGGCAGATTCACGACTTCCTTATTTTTATGTTATCCAGGCCTTTCATGGCACTGATTCCAAACATGGCACCTAAAAAGCGTTCCTAAAACAACACCTATTTTGAGAAAATCCGGACGAATGCCTTGATGCTATCCTTGCCAGAAGCAAGAACAGGTGAACGCTGTGTGTTCAACTGTGGTTGCCACGTGGAAACACGCAAGGTCTGAGGAGGCGGTCACGTTTTCTGACGTGAAACATCCTCATAACTTTCCAAAAAAAAACTTACAAACTACACGTATAAACATTATACGATAGCCTAAACCCCATAGTTTTCACAGCAGTAACATTATTCAAAAAAGCCTTTTGAATTTGAGTGATTGTTGCTGTAAGCAAACCATTGCAAGCGAAAAATGAGAGAATCGAGATCTTGAACAATTCTCAATCTCACAGTCTGGCGGTTATTCGAAGCAAGTCTCACATGAGCGAAGGCTGAGTAATGTATTGTTTTAGATGGGAAGAGAGATATGAATAGAATCATTGGCCGCGCGTCACCCTCAGAACGAAGTTAATTTTTTTGAGTATGACCATTTCACTTAAGTGGCCCAATTTGGGAACCTCAGAATTCGCTAAAAAGTCGGTTTACAAGGATTACAGGTTGATTACGAATATATTAGACATTATAATCAGTAAGGATTCATGTTATACTATTTAAGAACCCCAGAATTCGCTAAAAGTGGGTTTACAAGGATTACAGTGATTACGAATATATTAGACATTATAATTAGTAAGGACTCATGTTATACCTAACGGTAAGTAGACGATAGTTCTGGGAGCTTTGAGACAAATGTTCGCCTTGCTCAGAATCCTTCCGTCGTCGGATCATGACAGGAAGTTTTGAGCGGGTTTTGAAACATTAGAATCAAATTCGCCTTCGAGAAAACCCTAAAAAATTAGCCATGTTTTTAGAATGATTAGGGCTAAAGCAGTGCGTACCCAGATTGCCGTTCGAGGGTAGGAGGCAATAAAAAAAATTTTCTAATGAAGATGCGTGGCGTTAGCCTGGCTAACGCCACGCACTCCGAAAAATTTTTTTGCATGCTTTCCAAAATTTTTGCGGGCCCTAACCCCGAAAACGCCCGAAAAAAATTTTCTTTAACGCTAAATTGGATTTTTAAAATGTTTGAAAATTTATTTTAATTATTTACAAGAAAAACAAGTGGCTTTCACAGTTTTGTAACTCACATAAGTGACTTTCAAAAATTTCGCGACCCATTTTCGGGGTGAGGAGGGGGCGGCAGTACATGCTTGGAGAAGTTCTTTGGAATCTATTGGCAGATTTTACACCGCATATCTACGCTATAGCCAGCCCGTCTATAACTATCTTGATGGTCGCGAAGAATCAGTAAGACGAGATATTACCGGAATGTGCATACTTATTAAGTTAGCCAATACAAAATCATTTAAGATTATCCCTGCTGTAGTCCAAAACAAAACCTCTAAGAAAAACTTGATTATGCAAGATAGCCAACGGCAGTACATGTTTTTGACAGTACATGGGACGGACGGCAGTACATGTTTTTTATCTTCAGCCCAGTGACGTACCGAAGGAGCCCCAAAGGGGCGAAGATAAAAAACACATACTTTTTATCTATTGCAAACTTCCAGGCTCCGACGAAGGTGAAGGCACCGAAACGTTAGCCTGTCTGAATAAAGCGTAATAACGATCTTGATTATCGGCTATAGCATACGTGTACGACAAACGTTTAATAGTTATGAAAGGTAAAGACAACTTTTTGGAATCCACTGGTAAATTGTACATTGCATATCTATGCTGTGAGCAGCCGGATATCAGTAGGACGAGATATTACCGAAAAAGTGCATACTTATTGACTTTAACCGAGACAAAATTTTTAGATTATTCCTGCTGATCATTCTCGACGATATGGTATGAAATTTGGTACGTACATGAACACGGGCCTGGGTTTGAACCGTGAAGTTTTATTGAATACGTGACTGAAGATTGTGGCAAGCTTTTTTTCTGGAAATTTCCCGCTACCAAAAAAATGGAAAAATGGCTCGTTTGCGATGCAGTGATGACGAAATCGCGCGAGATTGGAGGTGTATACGCCCAGTAAGACTACGAAACTAACAAGGGAAGTACTATCAATGGCCGTGGCCTTTTGATATGAGATGAACATCATCTGAAGCAGCTTCGAACGCTGATTTTGAATCTGCTTTCCTTTTCTGCGGAACGCTCTTCTGAAGAAAGTTATGGAAGCCTGAACATTTTATTTTGGGGGCGCTCCTTGAGTTTGAGGGCGCTGCTATGTGCATTGGTGGTGCAGTAATGTAGTGGTTAATTGCTGACATTGAAGGCGAGAGGTTAATGGTTCGAAGCCGGTGGAGAGCGAACTATTTTGCTTATTAAATGTGAGTCTGAAAGCCTAAATCGCCTGCAGATACTTACTGTAATGCCTTTGGCATAAGTAACCTAGAAAAAAAAAATTTCTGGCAAAACTGCTTGTAATGAGGGCCTGAAATTTTATTTGACTTCCTCACTATAAAACAGGACCAAACATGGCCTAGCACGTTTGTCACCATATAAAGCTCAAAAAATGCACACTGTCATTAGTCGAAAAGACGTTCTCTCCTGTTTGTGCTAACAAGGGAATGGTCAGAAGTCGAAGTGGCCAATCCATACAAGCTGCATATCAATCGATGCAGCATAGAATGCTGATTTTAAATGTGTCTTCCGTATCTGCAGAGCCCCTTTGTGGGCGAAGTTATGAGCAGCTTTAATGCGGAAAAAATGTCCACAAAAACTGCGAAATTAGGCAGATCACTGCTCTTTTAGCTCAACTTTAGGTACGAGCCATATGAACTGACCTAGTTACACGTTTTGGTCCAACATTGAGCCGAGAATGGCTTTGTACGGCCAAGTTTGACCTTTACACGCACAATTTCTTAGCAAAATGATGACATTTAACGGCTTATAACTTCGCCTACAAAAGCGCTCTGCAGATAAGGAAGACAGATCTGAAATCAGCATTCTATGCTGCATCGAAAGGTATGCAGCTTGCTTGAATTGGCCACTTCGACTTCTGACCATTCCCTTGTAAGGCATTACGGTAAGTGTCTGAAGGCGATTTAGAGTGCTTTCAAACTCACATTCAATAAGCAAAATAGTTCGCTCTCCATCGGATTTAAACCGTCAACCTCTCGCATTCATGGTCAGCAATCAACCATTACACTACTGCGCCACCAACGTACATAGCAGCGCCCTCAAACTCAAAGAGCGTCCCCAAAACAGGATGTTCAGGCTTCCATAACTCTCTTCAGAAAAGCGTTCCGCAGAAAAGGAAAGCAGATTTGAAATCAGCGTTTGAAGCTGCTTCAGATGGTAGGCATCTCATAATAAACAGCCACGGCCATTGAAAGTACTTCCCTCGTAAGTACTAAAAATTACCAAAAACCTGTGAATGAAGAGCGTGCCGAACTTTCTTCCAGATTAGGTATGCAATTGCCCATTTAATGCCCACCTGAAGTAGTCAAAATTTTCGTTTCACATAATTTTCTCAAAATTTCTACATGATTGTGCTCTACACTTAAAGTTTGGTATATAGCAACATTTTGGCTCCAAAACTCTTCCTCTCCTCCTTACTAAGGGTGCCTTCATACCGCGCCGGTAGCCGCCGCTGGCAGCCCGTAGCAGCCTCCAGCAGCCGCTAGCAGCCCGTAGCAGCCTCCAGCAGCCGCTAGCAGCCCGTAGCAGCCGCCAGCAGCCCGTAGCAGCCCGTAGCAGCCCGTAGCCGCCGCTGGCCGCTTTCGTTATATAAGCAAAATTATCAGAATCTTAATACTTTGAGTGCTCCTGCCTACGCTTTTCATCTTCTACGCTTTTCTTTTGTTGCCGCTAGTACGCAGTTTGACCACATATCATATATGTGCCCATTGTTGTCATTACCTTCTCGCCGTGAGGTCATCCTGTTGAACCATAGTTGATAGAAGGTTCTTTCTGGTGTAACTCGCTCTGACTTCGGATGCGTCCGGTTCCAGCAGGTGTGCAATTTGTTTTTTGAGTATGCTTTTGCTTCAATTATTTCTTGGCTATCGGTGCATATGTAACTTGCATTCTACTATTTCGCAAGTTCGCCGGGATTCATTTGCCAGTTGAGTTTTTCTTGCTTTGATAATCACTCACATCTTTTTAAATAAGACAGATTGCAAAAGAATGTGAGGATACAGTGTGCGGAACAGAACAATGAACACAAATGAATTGTGGGGAGTTGAACTGCATATTAGCGATATAGCGATAATAAGAAAAAATAAGCGTAGAAGATGAAAAGCGTAGGCAGGAGCACTTAAAGTGGTAAGATTTTGACGATTTTGCTCCTATAACAAAGGCGGCCAGCGGCGGCTATGGGCTGCCACGGGCTGCTACGGGCTGCTAGCGGCTGCTGGCGGCTGCTAGGGCTGCTACGGGCTGCCAGCGGCGGCTGCCGGCACGGTATGAAGGCACCCTAAGATCCGGAAAATCTACGACGCCGTTTCCTTAAGAAGAAGAAAGGCGCTCTAATCGAGCAACCTACGCAGCTGGCGGGATCAAGTAGGAAATTGTAAAAATCGATAGTGGCAAAGCTGTTTTAGCGACGCCCATTTGCCAACCCGTGCCGGGCTCTGAATCAGAACCAGTTTAAATGGTTACAGTAGTTTCAAAGACCTTAAAGTCAGGTGTTCAATCTTACTTGTTAGGATCTTGAAGATGACCTCGAAAGTCGATCCTGCATGATCGACATCCTCTGGGCACAAAGGATGCGAAACTTTGAGGGCAATTTTGCAGTAATTTGAACCAGGAATTTATAATCGACTCAAGAGTATAAACGTTCCGACCGTAAACGCGATCGGGTACGAACTTGCCCACCTTCCACCTTTTGTTAGGGCGAAAAAAACGCTAAGGATGCTGTGAGCGATACAATACAAATTTGATGATAACAGCTGCATATTGTAAAAAAAGCTCACATTTTCACTACTCAAAAAGGCGATAATGCCAACACAAAATTGCCACATCCTAGCAAATGTGTTGTAGAAAGCAGTGTTGCTGTCAGTAGTGAGATAGAAACCGAGAGAAATACATGAGATCCCTTGAATACCAATTTGCACTCAGACATATTTCAGCGCAACACGACTAACCCAAAAAGAAAAGCACCCTCCGTAAAGGTAACAAATTTTGCACGAAGAAGAGAAGTGGAGCCAACAAATACCATTGCATCTCGACACATAAAGACCAAGTATGAGTAAAGAGATTGTCCGCATTTGATAGCTGAAGCTGCTCATGCATAGCTGTGAAAGTAGGAAATTCGAAGACATCACCATTTTTTCGTAATCCATGGCAGGATCGTTCTCAGACAGCCTGATGTTTGCAATGAGAAATATAGCTCTGCGTGAACTAGGAAAATTTATGAGTCGGAATGAAGGCAGTCTTGATACTACAAGCAATAATATCGCAGCGGACATCATATAATACAGCGGTAATATTCGCTTGATTCTTAAACTTTGCCTCTTATCTGTATAGTAGTAAAATAACTTTTAAGATGAAAGATAACCTTCTGTAATAGAAGTTCTGACAAAACGAAGCTGTCATCTCCGTTCTTGTTATGATCATAGCCATAAGAAAGCCAGATACGACGAAGAACCTAGATTGCAGATCAAAGGAAAAGCTTACAGATATAGTAACACATGCATTTTTGGGCGTAGTCATTTTTTAAAGGCAGCGTCCAGGCAAATATGAAAACCGAGTACAATGACTCCGATGTTAATAAAGCTCTTGCGCGTGGCATTGCACCAATGTGCTTCTGAAGCGAAAAACCGTTTCAGAGGTTTTGGATGGAACGTTTCGGGTCTCAAAACGACTTCGCGTCTGCTTGGCGGCAGGCGCTCAAATTCAAATCAAAGGTTTTTGAAATACTCCGTTTTTGGTATTTTCGTGCTTTCTAAGTTGTATTTTCGTATTCAGCGGAAAGAAGACAAGCCCAAAGCGAAAAAAAATTATCCATTTTTTTGACGCTGCCTTAAGAAAGAGAAGTTGCTTACATATCTACTCCAACATATCCATTCGGGCAATAAGCAGGAAAGAAGTGGAATGTGACAACCAAAGCAATCGCCCAGCCACGTATCCCTTGAATGTCTTGCCGTTTTTGAGCCATCAAACTATAAACAAGAATTTCGCTAAATTTACACCGACTGCGTCTAGCATTTATGGGAATTTATCGCATCGGTTTGCAATTCCTTTCTTATATAATGCGCACTCCTATTCCTGCAACTATTAACGTGCAATAATCAGGAATCGGTAGTAATTTCTCAAACTTCAATTCGTTCAAATAAACTATTGTTGCTGGTCATAAACTTCCGGCAAATTTTGAATTTGCTCAAGTAATGCGCATCTTTTGTAATGTGCAGTCTAAAACGAGGCGGACTGAGGCTTTGTTATCGGTTGCTCAAAAGCGTCTTGTAAGAACTAATTTTGAGAGCGCTTGTGGAGAAAAAAAAAAGAAAACGCAAAGCTTGAATGAGATGGTGCAATTACAGAGCGTATCAGTGCAGGGCAACAAAGCTTGTAATGATACAGTCACAATAAAATTGCATCAAACAAACACAGGGCCTGGCAATAGGGTTTCAAATGTCAAAATGAAAATCGTACGGTCTGCCCCAATCGGTATCCGGCCGAACCATCGGCTAAATTTGGACGCTCGCAGCGCTGAGGGTTTGCGCTGCGTACGCGCGCTGTCGCAGAGGGCAAAGAGTTTGAGGAGAGAGCGGACTAGCTAGTCGTAGACGTAACGCAATACCCTCGCGACGCGGGCTCCCGCCATGCCACTTTTGGCCTGGTTGGGGCTGGGGCAAACTGTATATTGTTTCTTAGGATGTTTGTTTCTTATAGACTGTATGTGAAGCGAAGAGGATGGATTTTGTTCCCCTATAAATGAGACGCGGCGCAGAAGATAGACTATTTTTTGCAACTTTTTGCTCGGTCCTTTTACCATTATTGATTTGTTTACTTACATCTGGGAAAAGAAAAGTTTATTAGACATTCGTCTGAAAGAGGGTGAACGGTAGCGGTACATTCCATTCTGAGTTTTTGCAAGCAAAGCGCAGTGACAAGAAGCGCTTCTCAAGTAGATCTTTTTATGCGCAAAAAAATGAAGTATGCGATGCTGCGGTGTGTAAGATCGTAAAGCAACATTATGGGCAATTCTCATAAGTGTAAATTCTATGTCAGCATGTATGTCAAAGGTACTGGATATACTGTTACGAGTTCGCGTGACTAACATTGGCATAAAGAACCAGAGCATTGTCATCTATTAAATTTATTTGATCACTTATTAGAGAAAGCTACGTTTTTTGTCGTTAAACGTGGAAATATGGAAGGACCTTTGGACTGTATAACGATATAAGAAAACATAATCTAGGCCACATCCACTTCTGTCACAGTCCAATTAGTGGATAGATAGTAAGGGGTAGAGGACATTAGTCGCCAATAGTTTCCACCCACGTGGAAATACTGACGTTGAAGGCGCACGGTGTGTTGCAAATTTTTGCCTGGGAACTCCTTTGCGTCCTGATGTTATCTACCCGATAGAAAGCAAACGATTAGAGGAAGGCACAATGGAAGTTCTGATTGTATTAGTGATATGCTAGTCACTCCTATCCCACTATGCTTACGAGAACGTTTGCTGGAGCGAGCGAACCTGTTAAGTTATATTAGGTCGTTTCATAAGTTCGTAGACTTTTTATTTTTGTCGCCGTTTTTCGATGAAGCGGTTGGTTTACGGCAAAGTACCTATACCAATAAAAAGAGAAAATTTTGCTCTACAAAAACTGTTGTTCGTTTTTGGAGCAAACTTGAATCCCCTTCTTTTACGACTTATCAAAGCAAAATTTTTTTAAAAGGCAAAAATTGGCGATTGCGGCAACTGCAACTTTCGATCCGCATACGGAGCCACAAGTGGGAAGCAACCTTTCGCCACCCTCACATTGGCATTAGGTGCGCATAGGCGCCAATAGTTTTGAAAAAAGTTGTGCACAATTTTTATTTGAATGAATATTACACGATTTCTCGTTTTTTCAACTTCTTATTGCGAATATAACATCAGACTCGGAGCCAAATTGCTTTTTGTGTACTGCAAACGAGTCATTTTGTTAAATCTTCAGTCTTATATCAAGTCTTAAGTCACAAATATCTCACAATACTTTTCACTATGCCCTTCCTAATTTGCCCGTTCATACACTAAATTCAGAGTCATATCTTTACATGCGCGCTGCAAAAGGGGCAGTTAATTACTGACAAGCTAGAGAAATTTTTTGAGAGGCAAAAATTGGCGATTGCGGCAACTGCACTTTCCGCATTTGGTCCGTATTCCGCAAGATGTTTCTGTCATAGGTAGGCGGGATGGATAGTAGCAAGCAAGACTGAAACACTGACAAATTTGCAGCATGCCAATATGCATGGAACCTTTTGAACAAGGTCCCAATGGTTGTTGTCTTTAACTGCTGCCGCTTGAGTTTGGCGCGTTGCTCAGCGACACAATGTGTCGGTCCTCCTATCGGAACTTGAGGAATGGATGCGTTCTTCTAAGTGGTGTAGATGTATGAGTAAAAGCTCTGACCAACATTTTACGCTTTTTCAAAAAAAATTTTTGACTTGGGAACTTTTTGAAATTGTGCCAAACGCAAAACATCTACACACATGGTAAACGTGCGCTTATCTTTCTTTATAGCCTCTCTTTGGATATGGAGACTACTTTTATATGCACCGTAGTACCACAAACAATTGTTTCTCATCACTCATAACAACTTCAGACAAAAAATTCCCACTTGTGGCTCCGTATGCGGATCGAAAGTTGCAGTTGCCGCAATCGCCAATTTTTGCCTCTCAAAAAAATTTTGCTTTGATAAGTCGTAAAAGAAGGGGATTCAAGTTTGCTCCAAAAACGAACAACAGTTTTTGTAGAGCAAAATTTTCTCTTTTTATTGGTATAGGTACTTTGCCGTAAACCAACCGCTTCATCGAAAAACGGCGACAAAAATAAAAAGTCTACGAACTTATGAAACGACCTAATATAAATTAACAGGTTCGCTCGCTCCAGCAAACGTTCTCGTAAGCATAGTGGGATAGGAGTGACTAGCATATCACTAATACAATCAGAACTTCCATTGTGCCTTCCTCTAATCGTTTGCTTTCTATCGGGTAGATAACATCAGGACGCAAAGGAGTTCCCAGGCAAAAATTTGCAACACACCGTGCGCCTTCAACGTCAGTATTTCCACGTGGGTGGAAACTATTGGCGACTAATGTCCTCTACCCCTTACTATCTATCCACTAATTGGACTGTGACAGAAGTGGATGTGGCCTAGATTATGTTTTCTTATATCGTTATACAGTCCAAAGGTTTTTCCATATTTCCACGTTTAACGACAAAAAACGTAGCTTTCTCTAATAAGTGATCAAATAAATTTAATAGATGACAATGCTCTGGTTCTTTATGCCAATGTTAGTCACGCGAACTCGTAACAGTATATCCAGTACCTTTGACATACATGCTGACATAGAATTTACACTTATGAGAATTGCCCATAATGTTGCTTTACGATCTTACACACCGCAGCATCGCATACTTCATTTTTTTGCGCATAAAAAGATCTACTTGAGAAGCGCTTCTTGTCACTGCGCTTTGCTTGCAAAAACTCAGAATGGAATGTACCGCTACCGTTCACCCTCTTTCAGACGAATGTCTAATAAACTTTTCTTTTCCCAGATGTAAGTAAACAAATCAATAATGGTAAAAGGACCGAGCAAAAAGTTGCAAAAAATAGTCTATCTTTTGCGCCGCGTCTCATTTATAGGGGAACAAAATCCATCCTCTTCGCTTCACATACAGTCTATAAGAAACAAACATCCTAAGAAACAATATACAGTTTGCCCCAGCCCCAACCAGGCCAAAAGTGGCATGGCGGGAGCCCGCGTCGCGAGGGTATTGCGTTACGTCTACGACTAGCTAGTCCGCTCTCTCCTCAAACTCTTTGCCCTCTGCGACAGCGCGCGTACGCAGCGCAAACCCTCAGCGCTGCGAGCGTCCAAATTTAGCCGATGGTTCGGCCGGATACCGATTGGGGCAGACCGTACGATTTTCATTTTGACATTTGAAACCCTATTGCCAGGCCCTGTGTTTGTTTGATGCAATTTTATTGTGACTGTATCATTACAAGCTTTGTTGCCCTGCACTGATACGCTCTGTAATTGCACCATCTCATTCAAGCTTTGCGTTTTCTTTTTTTTTTCTC